CAAAGATCTTGTAACTGTTTTCACTGTCATATACAAATCTTTTAAGATTCATATGAAACATGTTAAAATGGTGTATGATTTGTCTACACCTTTTCCATACGGTAAACTACTCTCATTAATGTCATATTGAGAGAAAATCAGATTGCTCTGAGGCCTTGCAAAGCAAATGTTTGGGGGCCCCTCCAGGTTCGGGGGCTCTAAGCAGCTGCCTATTTTTGCCTAATGGTAGCGCCGCCTCTGCACCTTTAAATTTAAATTACATTCATTCAAATCTATACACTTGCAGGTTTAGCAGGTGTTATTTTGAAGGTACATTTTCAAAAAGTCGAAATCGAAATTAGAGCTTTTTCTAACGCAATTTACATTTTCACCCATTCAAATCTTTTACTTATAACACATGAAATTAGAGGACAAAAGTGAAAGCTGAAAACTGTCTCCCACCAAATGAGAGATTTCACGATAATGAAATCTGTGGATTGTCTTTTGAATAGCCATTGTTCTGCCGCCTTATCTCCAAACCCAAACTTCCCCAGACTGTCTCGATGTCTTCATAATTAAAGTATTAAAGTTCGTCATTGGATCATTTGATAAAGATCTGACTGATGCGTTTTATGCCAGCTTCTGTTTCAACATTTTTATTTCCTTCCATTGTCAGTGAAAAGTCCCAGGTATCAGCTTTAAGGTTTTGAGTGATAACATCTGCAAACTACAAAACAAGTTAATGGATTTTTTTCTTTTTTAGAAAAGTTAACTCCAAAAATACTAGTTTAATCATGATTTGCTGGTTATTAAAGGTTCAAAAGAAGTTAAGAAGTTAGATTGTAGACTGAAAAATGACGAATGAATTTTAGTTGTTGTAACTGTATAAAGACGTGGACTAAAGGAGTGTGACGTCATCCACAGCCTTCAGCTCCAGTCAAATGAAGCTGATCAAGGCTACAAGTTACAAGAATAACTTTGGAGCCAAGTTCCATATTAGGACTAGGAATTTATTTACAGATAAACAGTGAAATAAGAAAACACCAGGATCATGTATGGCAACTGGTTTAATATGAACATTTTAAGACTCAAATAATCCAGTAGTTACAGAGAGGTGTGACATTTTTTCATTACAAAGTGAATTAGAGCCAGAATTGATGGAGCCGGAAGTGCGCCCATGCTCACTTCCTGTTTGGAAATGGAGTGACCAGATGGTGGCAGTGTTTAAGTGTTTAAGTGGGACAAAACATGAAAATGAGAGACATCTTGTTGGATACACATGTATATACCATATTATTTGGACTATATGTTGCCATTTTTTTCATGGTTTTGGCTGGTCCTGCGACTTATATTCTGGTGCGACTCATACATGAAAATATATTTTTTGATATGTTCGTTATTTTCACACTGAAGCCACAAGGGGGCGCTCTAGTCTTGTGTGTCAGTATCTGCTGCTCCTATTACTCCTGTACTACTGTCACTTCACTCTACTGTGCATGTCTCCTGCAGAAAGAGCCTCTGTCCTGCTGCAAGTAGTGAAATATGAAGCCTAAACAGTAATCGAGCAGCAGAAAGAAAGCTCATCACGGGCTAAAAGCTAGATTTTTGGCAAAGTTGCTCAGAAGTGACACTGAGGATGAAGAATTCAATGGATTCAGTGATTTGGAGTGAGATGGAGAGTTTGGTAAACTTGTTCTGTTGTTTATGTTATAGTTTATCTGAAGAACTGTTCATATGTGACATTAACAGTCTGTTGTTCTCTGTTCTGTTGTTATTTCGTAGAACTTGACTTTCAACATGAAATGTTGGTTCCTGATCTCTGATTTTATAAAATAAATTTCCCCCAAAAAGTGCGGCTTATACTGCAGTGTGACTTAAATATGTTTTTTCTTCATTATGCAGTTTTTGGCTGGTGCGACTTATAGTCCAAAAAATACAGGTACTGTGTATTTTTTGTTTTTTCATTGCATCTTCACTCCCTATTTGAACAAGACACCTTAATTAAAAAAAATAAAAAATCCTGTATTCTGCTGCATTTTGGTCAATATTTTTGCTCATATCCAGGAAACAATGCAATCAAGATTTCCTGATTCCTAAATTCTAAATAAACTGGACTGAACAGCTTTGCCATTTGTGCAGTTTCAGACTGTGCATTGTCAGTATTTTCACAAAAAAGGCTCATTCTGCAGTGGGTAAATGCAGAGAGTTTATTCTGATGGAGTCACAGGAAGTCAGTTAAGTTGTCATATAAGCAGTATCTTAAAGGTGCACTATGTAACTTTTTTGGCTGGGGGTCCATCACCTGCCTGGAATGTTCCACAGTATGACATTAAACAGCTTTACCTTACATCAAATCAATTAGAGGCGCTTTTATAGCTCAGAAATACATAAAAACAAGTGCTCTGACTGTGAGTGGAGCCGCCTCTCCACAGATCTGACCTGTAGCTTGGTCTGGTTTGGTCTCCATGAAGATAGAAAGGTTTAATACCATACTGTGAAACATTCCAGACAAAACAATAACATCTCCATGAAGAAAAAGCAACAGAAAACATTTAAAAAGTAGAAATTTTAAGGTCAGTCAGTATTAAATATTGATATCGGCCAATACCAACACTTGAACCGATACATAACCCGTTTCTAACAATGCTGACGCTGCCAAAAATATCTTCTTAGTCACTTTCAGTTCGCATAAAAAAAAAGAAAAAGACTACAAGACTATAACAAACCCATGACCCCATTACCAGTTCGGAGTACAGAAATCCGCCTCTCTTAAAAATCAGCAGTCAACCTCACCGTGTAACTGAACGGACTTTTGACTTCTCCCATTTCTCGTTCTCAAACTGGGGAAATTTCATGTGATTAAGTGAAATCAGCTCGGGCCTGGTGTGTCCCCGAAGAAGGCCCCCGGAGGTCCCCTGGGTCCCCTTTGCACGGAGCCGCTCTAAACTGCGCAGATTAAAAGCTGAGAGGCAGGAGCCGGGTCCCTGCAGTGGTCCCGGAGACGCTACGCTATCTGACTGACAAGCAGGTGTGAGCCCAGGTCATTTATAGCAGTCGGTACTAACGCGCCAACGTGTGATTTTCTCCGGCTTGTATAAATGGATTGTTTTGAAACGAATGAATCAATCGAGATATTATAAACATTTTGATACGCTCTAGTTTTGGCGTCAAGGTAAATTAGAATTAGAGTAGATGGTCTGCGATAAAAATGATTCTTAAAGGGCTCATACAATACAGTATTACGCTATTTTCCTGTTCTGTTTTAATGTTTCCTCATCACAAACAGACCTGGAGTTGTGTTTTGTTTCATTCACACATGTTTAACACAAAAACCCTGCAGATTTAAGATGAGTTCTTTTCTCAAACAGAAAAAGCTCTGTTTCATCTGCAGAGGTTGGGACTTGCAAGTCGTGATTTGGACTCGAGTCAGAATTGAGTCACTATTTTAAGGACTTGAGACTTGACTTAATAAATAAAATAGACTAAGACTTGGGACTCAACTTAGGTCTGTGACTTGAGAAGACTTGATGTTTGTCCTTAAAAAATATATGTTTTTAGAAAGTACTTTTCTCTTTACAGTTGATAAATGTGGTGCTGAATTTTACAGAACAAACTGGAACATGTTCCTCCCACTTCTCTGTTTGTTACTTTGGATGTAACTGAAGTACTGTGATGTGGTATCATCAAATGTACTACAGTAATAGTACAGTACAATACAGTAAAACAGAGGGAACTACATAGAACATGATCCTTCCATTTCAGTGCAAACTACATGACAAAATAATAGTTATTAAGCACTTTTAAATCTTCATTCTTTCTATTCTGACCGTAATAATTTACACTAAGATCTTGTCAAGACATTTAAAAAGGAAAAAAACTGCATTTCTACAACTCTATTTTTAGGACTTGAGACTTGACTTGATAAAATGGACTAAAACTTGGGACTTGACTTGGACTTGAGGCTTGTGACTTGAGAAGACTCGATGCTTCTGCTAAAAATATATGTTTTTAGAAAATATTTTTCTCTTTACAGTTGATAAATGTGGTGCTGAATTTTACAGGATCAAACTGGAACATGTTCCTCCCACTTCTCTGTTTGTTACTTTGAATGTAACGGAAGTACTGTGATGTGGTATCATTAAATGTACTACAGTACAATACAGTACAATACAGTAAAACAGAGGGAACTACATAGAACATGATCCTTCCATTTCAGTGTAAACAACATGACAAATAACAGTTATTAAGCACTTTTAAATCTGAATTCTTTCTGTTCTGACCATAATAATTTACACTAAGATCTTGTCAAGACGTTTAAAAGGGAAAAAAATTGCATTTCTACAACTTGATTTTTAGGACTTGAGACTTGACTTGATAAAATTGACTAAAACTTGGGACTTGAAAAGTACGTTTTTAGAAAGTACTTTTCTTTTTACAGTTGATAAATGCGGTGCTGAATTTTACAGGAACAAACTGGAACATGTCACTTCTCTGTTTGTTACTTTGGATGTAACTGAAGTACTATGAGGTGGTATCCTCAAATGTACTACAGTATTATACAGTACAACACAGTAATATACAGTACAAAAGAGGGAACTACATAGAACATGATCCCTCCATTTCAGTGCAGACTACACGACTGCACTTTTAAATCTTCATTCTTTCTATTCTGACCATAATAATTCACACTAAGATCTTGTCAAGACATTTAAAAAGGAAAAATTTACATTTCTACAACTCTTATATAAATACTCATATTTAAATATACCATGACTTTATAAGTACAATTTAGTTTCACATTCATATAGATTGCAAAAATCTGGTATTTTGGTTTAAAGACTTGAACTGACTTGAAGCTCAAAGCAGACGACTTGGACTTGACTTGGACTTATGAGTCAGTGACTCAAGACACGATTGGACTTGCCTGTATTTGACTTGGGACTTGACTCAGACTTGACTGGAGACCAACTTGAAACTCACAAAACGACTTGGTCTCACCTCTGCCAGTCTGTGATGACATGTGGTAATACAGAAAGCGCTCCACTGTGTTTTTAAACTCCATACTCCTTCAATCATAGAATCATTTGGATCATTTCAGCCCTGGAATTGCCCCTTTAGTGCCCTGAAAATTAAAATGCAATATTCCTGTTAAAAAATTCATAAGACTAAACTCATATTTAATTTAAATAGCTAAAAAACATTCCCATTTGATATAAATACATACTTCTTGTAAAGAGGCAGAAATTAAAAAATGCTTGTTAAAAATGAACCGAAATCCAAAATTAAAAGTTGCCCAAAGCTAAAATGAACGCAAGCCTTGTCATTCATTTTGGTCAAATTCATAAAACTAAACTCATATTTAATTTAAATAGCTAAAAAACATTTTCATTTGATATAAATACATACTTCTTGCAAAGAGGCAGAAAATCCAAAAATGCTCGTGGAAAAAATTAACCAAAGTCCAAAATTAAAAGTTGGCCAAAGCTAAAATGAATATGAGTCTTGTCGGGAGTGTAATGTGTGAATGAAACAAAACACAACTCCGGTTATGTTTTTGAGAAGGTAAGCCTCACAAGAGTCCATTTTGTATAATATAGGACCTTTAAAGCCACATTATGTAACATTTTAGCCATTAAAGAGAATAAAGGCATGTTTTTTGTTTTGTTTTGTTTTTTATTTTGGTTGTTTATTGCACAGAAAAACATACATCCTTACAGCGAGTGCACTCAAATCTCCACAAACTTGACTGTTACTTGTTTCCTGCTTGTTTCCATGGAAATGTTATTCCTTTGGTTAGAATATTCCACAGTATGGCATAAAAGTCTATCTCCACTGAGAAAAAAAGTGGTTTTAACATTTTATTTTCATGGAATCAGGCAGTTGCCACCTCCAGAAAGTTACATTAACAGTAACCACATTAAAAATTGGACAGTAATTTTCAGTGGTGGAAGGTAACGAAGAACAAAAGTAAAAGTACAATAAGTACAATTTATAGATATCTGTACTTTAAATACATTTTACAGTGGATACTTCTTACTTTTACTTCACTACACTTGAGAGCAGGTATGTGTATTTTCTACTCCACTACATTTTAGATCTGGACTGAAAAGTAAGAAGTACTTAGTTAAACTTTGAGCAAACCAGAAACACAATGACAGCTAGAACAATCAAGACATCATTTGAATCACTTAAAATCAGCTGAATTCTTTAACAAAATCACCACATTTGATGCTTTAATTATTCTTAAAATATCTACAAAATACTTTAACTTTTTACTCTTAAAGTACAATTTTAAACAGGTACTTCAGTGGTTTTATTTAAGTACATTTTTTTTCTATGTGATACTTTAACTTGAGTAAAATCTTTTGCCCTTGTATCTGTACTTTTACTTAAGTAACAAAACTGAGTACTTCATCCACCACAGTTTACGAAACACAATTGTATACAAGTAAATGAGCAAATGAGGTGGTTCCACTGCTCTTATATTTACTTTAAAATCATATATTTTTTGGCCAAATGCAGCAATTTTGGACATTTTACCTGAACAAAAATGGCAGATTTTGACAGTAACATCCAGGAGACATTTTAATGACTGAAGCCTTTGACCACCAACTTAAGGAAAGCTCTCCACTGTGTTTTTAAACTCCTTCAATCATAGAAACATTTGGATCATTTCAGCTCTGGAATTACCCATTTCTACTTCACTAAAAGGTAACTAAAGCCGTTAACTTTAAAACTACAGCTTCATGACATCACAAGTTGGAACAGAGCATTTTGAGCTTTAGAGATACAGACAGAGCACCTCTCTTACATTTACTTTTTAGTCATATATTTTTGGCCAAATGCAGCAATTTTGGACATTTACCTGAACAAAGATGGCAGATTTTGACAGTAATATTCTGGAGACAGTAGTTTAGTGAAGCGTTTGACTACCAACTTAAGAAAAACTGATTTCAATTTTGCAAAGAGTGTATCTTTTTTTTTTATATTACCAAAAAAACCTACAATATTTTAACATGAAACGATAAGAAACAGTCTTACATTTATAACAAAGAACAAGTATAAAAAGTCTCTTCTATCCTTTATATTCTAACCATTGAATTTTTCCAACCACAAGATGTCACAATCCAGTAGACCTCTATTGAGCAAAGACAATAGACATTATATACAGTATATTACAGTATATCCCGATATCTTACATACATCTTTAAAGGTGCACTACATAACTTTCTTGGTGGAGAGTCTGTCATGTGCTTGTCATGGAGATGTTATTGCTGTTATTGGTGTTCAGTGCAGGATTATCAGGCCGTGTTACAGGTCAGATCTATGAATGTTTTTCACTGTACCGTATTTTTTGGACTATAAAGCGCACCAGATTATAAGGTGCAATATCAATAATTTTGAATTCTCTCGTCTATTTTCATACATAAGGCGCACCGGATTATAAGGAGCATTAAGAAAAACAAACGGACGACACTTGAGACTGATCCTTAGCCCAGGCGTCCACGATCCATTGGCGTCTCCCTGTCTTGGTGAATGTGTTTTATGAATGTAAACGAGGGTGAATAATTAAGTTTTTTTTTTTTTTTCCAAATATACCTTGAGTAATAATGTGTTTAATACAGCTTTGCGCACATTTGTTTACGTTTTACAGAAACAAAACTTAAAACCACGTGGTTAATTTGCATAAACTATAAGCGCTGAAAAAACTGCTCGCTCCTTGTGCACTGATGTAGTTCAGCTTCTGTCGGACTAAAGAACACGACTCCGTGGAATATGAGTGTTCTTTTTGCGACAAGGCGACGGCTGCAGTGTGCTTTGAGTTGACGCAGAATTATACTTCGCCCTTTACTCCACGAGGCTCCTGACTACGGTAGCCTTAATGCTCTGACAAAGCGGTGTGGCTTCATACTAAAACATTTTGAGAGATATATGCGCTGTGTACCACTTGAAATCGGTTCGAGTTCAGTGAGCACAACTAGAATAATACATAAGACGCACCGGATTGTAAGGCGCACTGTCGATTTTTGAGAAAATTAAAGGATTTTAAGTGCGCCTTATAGTCCAAAAAATACAGTATATATTTGTAGCCATAAAAACACCTGTTAAATAAATACAAGATCCACACGCTTAAAGGGCCTGATCGATGTTATAATGTTATTTCCTCATCAAGTTGTGTTTTGTTTTATTCACGTTTAACACTCAAACCCTGAGTATTTAAGCTGATTTCTTCTCTCAAACTGAAAACAGTCTAATTACCTTTTACCTTTCGATTAGTAGCACTAGTAGTGGAGCACTTCCTGTATTTCCACATGACATCACAAGGTGGAACAGTGTTTTCTGTTTGAGAGAAGAACTCAGTCTAAATCTGCAGGATTTGTGTGTTAAATGTGTGAATGAAAAAAAACAACTCCAGGTCTGTTTGTGATGAGGAAACAACATTGTACTATAGATCAGAAAACATGAGTAACATGGGCCCTTTAATGCCATACTGCGGAACATTCCAGACAAGCAGGTAGAGGACCCTCCCCCCACTAGAAAAGTTACATACTGCACATGTGTATTTGTATGATATGTGGTCATTCTTTACATAGTCCATCATAAATAGTCCCTTTGACAATATTTACAGCACAAAGCCTCATCAGTAAACTCAAAACCTCAAACCCTTTACTTGGTTTTCAGTGCGTTCAGTAGTACGTGCACCAGTTGCTGTAGTCGCTGGGCATCAGACCCCCGGTGATGAGCAGGATGAGGTCCACGAACCACCAGATGCCCAGGCCTCCCAGGGTCAGCAGCTTCCCCACGGCGGTGCCTGTGTGACCCAGGCAGAAGCGGTCCACGCCGAAGCAGCCCAAAAAGAACGAGTAGAGCAGCGTGGTGATGAAGTAGTGACCCGTGTACCTGGGAATGACAAGGGAAAGATCAATGGTGCATTCGTGTGAGCTCGGAAACTCTGAAGGACAGACTTTCGACTCGGGAAAAACTCAACAAGTGTTTCAGTCTGTTATTTATTTATTGCAGCCCATGGTTTTACACAAAGATGCACATTTAGAAAAGAGTTTACTGGGATTATAATAGTATATTTTAGTAATTTATTACCCAAACTTTAGAAGGAAATGTATGTAAGATTTAGATTTGCAATGTCAAACCTAACCAGTGTCCTCAGATGTGTTCAAATATAGCTTTAACTGAACTAAAAATCTGCATTAAAATTGTTTAGTTAGAAAAACATGTTATAATTTGGTGTTTTGGCTATCAAGACCATGATCAAAACAGAAAGCAGATTGAGCCGCATGTGGGTCTCTCATGTGGGTTGCCAAATCCACTTGGTTTAAACCAGAGGTGTCCAAACTATGGCCTGAAGCCAAATGTCGCTCTCAGACAAATTTTTGTTGGCCCCAACCTTCTACTAAATTAGCCCAAAATGATCATAGGCAATATTTTTTACTGCAAATTCAAGTATCTCTATCACTGTAACCTGAGTAACATTTTATTGCATTGTGATTACCTCGATACGTAGGCCCTGATATGATACATATCTCGATACAGTGCATTTTCAGTTAGATTTCAAATACATTTTTTACAGTTCAATAAAAAATAATGGCTAAATCATGGCTGTGATACTAAAAGTCTTTCTTAAACCATTTCTTGTGCAAAGTTAATATAAAACACACCCATTTTAATCATCAAAACAGTGAAAATGTCAAATGTGTTGCATAAACGAGTTTGCTTCCTCTAAACAAGCCACAAAGCTGTAGCACTGTAGAAACAAAATAATGTAGCAGAATATACCAAAAATATTCTTGGCGATAGATATATCAATACAGCAATCCCCGATATCGATACTGTATCATCACATTGAACGATACAATATTTTTCCACATCCCTAATTGTGATACAAATCTAAATTAGTGTAGCAAGACTTTTTAAAGATGTGAAGGTCTGAACAACTTGCTGTATTTTTTTTTCCTCCTTCCATTTAACATTGCACTGCAGCCCGGTTGAGTAAACAAAAAAGTAGGCTAATGAAATTAAGACCTTTGTGAAAAAAATAAGACTTGGACAGCATAATTTAAGACTTTTTAAGGCTTTAATTTAGGAACATGAAATTTAGGCCTTTTTAAGACTTTAACTCTTTCCCCGATGAAGACGACATTTGATGACCCCCTCTTGTTTCTTTAATGACGTGTTTTGACACCTCCGCTGTATCACTAAAGATGTGATTTGACGAACAATAGAAATGGTTCCGGTTTTTCACATGTAAACAGAGGCTGTGATAGGTGGGGGCCACTACAACCCATACTAAGCTGACTAGGATTCAAGGATACATTTTTGCGAGAAAGTAGCCTCAGTGAGCTGTTATAAACCTGTAAATGAGTTAAATCACATTTAAACATCCATAAGTGAATAGTTCAGAGTCTAAGGTTTCCAGAGATACAAATATGTCTGTGTTTCAATTACGTTCATGAGTGTGAAAATCATTTATAATCACTTGTGGAAGTCTGTTTTCTTTTATGCAGTTATGCTCTATGTGTAGCCATAGTAAAGTATGTCTGGGTTGCTCCTCATAGGCGTCCAAGGGGGAAAGAGTTAAGACCCAGCAGCTACCCTGTGTATATATTAGGGGTGGGCGATATCTCGATATTTTAAACATATCGAGATATTTTTTAAACTCGATATGGAATCTGACATATCGTATTTATATCGATATAATGCTTATATTCAATTTTGATTTTGCTGCTTCGTTTGTTTGCCTTCTCTGTGCGTGTCCCCGCCTCCCCGATTATGTTCGCTTGTGTCTCGTTCACTCGTCACTACCGCCGTGAACGCCGAAAGTTGGTGCCAGTGAAAAGCTTTTAGCACCACAAAACTTTTCCACCATTTACAGACAAAACCATTAAACAGCACATCCTCATATTCCACCGAGTCGTGTCCTTTAGGCCGAAAGAAGCTGAACCACATCAGCGGCACGAGGAGAGGGCTGTTTATGCAAATGAGCCATGTGGTTTTAAGTTTTGTTTCTGTAAAACGTAAACACATGTGGGCAAAACTGCATTAAACACATAATAATCTCACATGGGTTGAAGTGGCTCTAGAGTCTTTATGCTTTATATGTTGTAAAGTTTAATCATGTAAAGTTTATTAGTGTAGAAGATTTTAATCAATAATCTGCTGCAGTGTAACTTGTACAATAGTGTTTGAAAACGTTGGGTTTGATCTGCAGTGGATTGTGGGAAACCTCAGAGCTCTTTACAGTGGTGAGGAACTTGGATCTAATAAAATAAAGAAACTTCCAATCTTCCTCTGCTAAATGAGCTCATGGTCATGATTATTGTTTGGATAACAGAGTTAATGCAAAGATGAGCTTGAGTTGAGTTGTTTTATTTATGGATGAAAATAAGGCAATATGTATTATTTCTTTTATTTTACAGTTAAATTATTATTTATGTAATTAGGGATTCATTTTTGTAATCTTAAATGTGGCAGAAGCACTTTGTTCCTATATGAACTGCCTCTTTGCACTTCAATTAAAAAAAGACCTTGTGGAATTTGGCATATTTGTTTTTGCAGTTTTCAGTTTTAAGGGGTTATTTTTCCCGTACGGATATCGAGATATATATCGTATATCGAGATATAGCAAAATATATCGAGATATATATTTTTGATCCATATTGCCCAGCCTTAGTACATATGTCCTCTATCTGCATGTTTAGATAGTAACATGAAGAGCACGGGCTAAACACAGTTCCTTTAATTGTTTCTAACTCAACCTGACCCTGACCTTAACCTGCTCTATACTGCTCTACATTAATCACATCCTCGCTCTTAAACATCATCTCTTTGAATAACCACCACGGCAAACTGTCCCTCCAACAACAACATTGATCTACCCACAATAAACAGGCTTTGTAATGTCTGTCAACTAGGGGTGGGCGATATCTCGATATTTTTAATATATCGAGATTTTTTAAAAACTCGATATGAATTCTGACATATCGTATATATCGATATAATGCTTATATTCATATTTTGATTTCGCTGCTTCGCTTCGCTTGTTTGTCTTCTCTGTCATCGCCGCACCGCGAAACCTTTCCACCATTTACAGCCAAGGCCTTCAGCAGCACATTTCATATTCCACCGAGTCATGTCCTTTAGTCCAAAAGAAGTTGAACCACATGAGCGGGACGTGGAGTGCGCTGTTTATGCAAATTAGCCATGCGCTTTTTAAGTTTCGTTTCTGTAAAACGTAAACAAGTCTGCGCAAAGCTGCAAAAAATTAAAATTAACACTATAATCTCAAACGGGCTGATGTGGCTCTTGAGTCGTTATGCTATATATCTTGTAAAGTTTAGTAATGTAAATTCTATTTATGCAGAAGATTTTAATTAATAATCTGTTGCAGTGTAACTTGTACAATAGTGTTTGGAAACGTTGGGTTTGATCTGCAGTGGATTGTGGGAAACCTCACAGCTCCTCACTGCTGGATAATAACATGGATCTATTAAAATAAAGAACATCCTGAGCTTCTTCTGCTAAAGGAGCTCATGGTTATGGTCTGGATAACAGAGTTAATGCAAAGATGAGCTTGTGTTGAGTTGTTTTATTTATGAATGAAACGAAGGAAATATGTTTTATTTCTTTTATTTAACAGTTAAATTAATATTTATGTAATTAGGATTTTTTGTAATCTTAAATGTTCCTATATGAACTGCCGACCTCTTACACTTTAATTTAAAAAAAAAAAGGACCTTGTGGAATTTGGCAGATTTGTTTTTGCAGTTTTCGGTTTTAGGGGGTTATTTTTTCCTATACAGATATCGAGATATATATCGTATATCGAGATATAGCAAAATATATCGAGATATATTTTTTGATCCATATCGCCCAGCCCTACTGTCAACTGAACATTTAACCCTTGCTTTGCCCACGTGTCTCTTGTCACTGGTTCTATACGTCCAGCCCCTCCTTCTCTCTCCCTCTTTCTCTCGCCTCTATGCTTTTTCATTACAGATTAACCTTGTGAACTGACAGCTTTAGAGATGCCAAGCGACAATACATGAGAAATTTGTCTGGATCTAGTGAAGCGCCGCATACACAAGCAAACACTGCCCCCCGGTGGAGATGTGCGGAAGGTCGGTTTAATCAAATGCGATTCTAAAGTAATTTCTCTCTCTTTTCGTTAGTGAACAGATAAGGATTCAATTAAAAAGGTGTGGATGGCTGTTTTAGATTAAATGCAGCAGAAAGGGAGTGTTTCGCAAGTAAATCTTTGCTAATGAGATAAAAGGAATACAATATAGTGAAGAGTATAGCTGCTCTGGCAAGGTTTAATTTATAAGACTAGCAGACGTATTGATTATAAAAATGTCAAGCTTGACGTGTTGATAATATGAAAAAGAAAATGCACAATTCAGTAACTATAGATGACAGTGTCCAAATATAATCACAAAACAATACAATAAGTAAAATTAAACTTTAGTTAAGCCACATTTAAATTGAGACAGTGGAAAAAAGTCACTGGCACTGGTGATTACAACACATTTTGATTTGTGCTTACCAGACAGATTATTGTTAGAGATTATAATACAATTTTGTGTCATAGGCTTTGCACATTTAGGGGGTGTTCTTAAGGCTGTAGCTATAGTTTATGTCTACCTCCAAACTTATTTTATTATTCATTTAATTTATAAAAGCATGGACAAGATGTGTATGTTGGCAGTAGTTGCTGTGAAGCAAGAAACTGTAAATGTGTGTTAAAAGTCATAAAATGTGACAACCTAATTTATATATTATATCGTTTAATGTGATGATACAGTATCGATATCATGGGCTGCTGTAAATATATATCGCCAAGAGTATTTTTTGGTAGATTTTACTAAATTATTTTGTTACAATGCTAC